GTCTCTCAGATTAAAAGTTTATTAATAATTTTTTACCGGAGACATTCTATTAACCATTTGAAAAAACAAAATATCTGAAAGGTTACCTACATTGGGCTTCATTTTTCCTTTGGTCTCATGAGTTGGACTTCTAATAAACAATTACAGGGATTACATGCAGCTGCAAGAGCAATGCCTGGAGAATACTCCATGGTAAGTTTAATTTGACTAAGCACTCCTAGATATTTTTTATTCTATTAATTATTACTCCTAGAAAAGTAGATAGACAATAAGAACTAGGCATGTGTTTCATTTTGGTATTTTAGGTTTTTTAATTACAACCATTTCATAGTGGGACTACTTATTCAGTACTCTTTACGTAGTCAAAAATCAAAAGTTGCCTTCCTTATCCACATTAAAATAACAACTTGTTAAAAGAGAGGACCAAACATCAGCATTGAGTAAGATTCTACCTAAAAAATATGTTTTGTCCATGTTTGTAGCTATACAATGACGTATTGGTAACTTGTTAGGATTATACTAATCCGCAAATGGTTTCTTGTGGGAATAAATAATTGAATCACTGTTTTCTAGCATATCACAACAGCAGGACAAAATTCATATATAGAAAAACTTCTTTTAACTATATCTGTGTGCCAAATGCAAATCAGATGAGTCATGACACGACATTAAACAATATTGTGGTACTAAGAACAATACACATACCCCACAAATTTAACCAGAATTATAAGTACGTAATAGTATACGTTTACAGATTATTTTCTAACTATAGATTACAGAATAAATACAGTAACTTCTAGAATGGAATAAGTATATAATAATGGCACGTTGAATTACAACACAATGGCATGTAAATTTCACAAGGTATTTAATTAATATACATCTTATACTTAGAAAAGGGGGTGAGTCTGTGAAGGAATTAGACAAATGCCTGACTGTACACTGAGGCTTAATTAGTTCTTAGCTGAATTAGTTAGTGTAGTTAGTTATTAGTTAATTATTTTGTTAGTGGAAGTTAGGTATATAGTAATTGGATACAGCTGGCAGGTAGTTACATTTTGTATATATAGAAGCTAGCTAATTTATTTTTGCAACTCTATTGATTCTATAAAGGAAAATTTCCCAAATCTCTGCATGTGTTCTCTTCCTTCGTCTCTGTTCTTTCTCTGTTACGTGTTTCTTCATGGTATCAGAGCAAGGTCTCATCGGTAAGATCTAAGGATTGTTCTTCGCGGATTGAAGACGATCGAGAGATTCATCGACAATTTTTTTGTGAAAATCGATTCCTAATCTGAATTACAGCAAACCCTAGATTTACTTGTTAATTCTGTTCTTGACTAACAATTCTTCACTGCATCTACGAATTCACTGAGCTTGTTGTGTATAATCATGGCGATTGAGGATGTATCTGATTTAGGAACCTCTGTTCCAGCTCCGGTGGTGATTGATCATAATCATCCCTTGTATCTTCATCCTTCTAGTGCCCCTAGGTCCCAATCTGTTGGTATTCAGCTCATAGGCATGGAGAATTATACTCTGTGGGATCGAGCAATGAGAGTTGCACTCCTAGGAAGAATAAGCTGGGTTTCATTGATGGTACAATCACTAGGGATACTTTTGGACCAGTTCTAGGACATCAGTGGGATCGGTGTAATGAATAGTAGTTTCGTGGCTTACGGGAATTGTGAGCAAGGAATTGCTAAGTGGAATCTATTTCGTTCAAATGCATTTTTGGTTTGGAAGGAATTGCAGGAGAAATTCAATAAGGTGAATGGATCACGTTTGTATTCTCTTCACAAGGAAATCTTTTACCTTGACTCAAGGCACATCATCTGTGTCAGTGTACTATTCAAGGTTGAAGGATTTATGGGATGAGTATGATTCAATGGTGCCACCTCCTTCATGTGACTGTGAGAAATCGAGGGATTTTGTAGTGCACTTGCAATATCAGCTTTTATTATAATTTTTAATGGGATTGAATGAAGGTTATAGTCAAGCAAGGAGTCAAATTCTGATGAAGTCTAAGGTGATTAATGTGAACCAAGCATATGCCTTGATTGTTCAGGATGAGAGTCAAAAACTTGTGGCAGGAAGTAACTATGTTACAGCTGAAACCATGAAATCAGCTGCATTGTTTACGACTAGGAACAATGTACCTAAGCAGAAGAGGAATTGGAGTGTAGAATGTGACTACTGTCATGGAAAAGGCCACGCCCTTAAGGGATGGTTGTTTCAAGCTGATGCATTGTGGTTATTGCAACAAGAGGGGTCACCTTAAGGAGAATTGCTACAAATTGATCGGATATTTTGCAGGTTTCAAGTCCAAGGCCAGAGCTAATGTGGTTGATGGGCATTCTCTGCAATCTGAGGCTAGTGCAACTAATCAAGGCAACACCAATGCAAATAATTCCACCAACACTGTTGCACCAATGATCACACAAGAACAATATAATATGCTACTCAGCATACTTAGTAAGGCCTCCACACCTGAAACAAGTGAACATTTGGTAGGTAAGTATTTCCTTGTTAAAGATAATGCAGTATATTGGATAGTAGACACGGGAGCTACAAATTACATGACAGGAAATGAATGTTTGTTGTTGGATGATGGTAAAGTAGGAAGTGCTGGAAATGCGCAAATGCCCACAGGAGTATCTGCTAAAGTAACAAAAATAGGAAACAGTCCTTTGGCAGGAGGTGATATCCTTAAGGATGTGCTTTGTGTGCCAAGTTTTAAATTCAATCTATTATCAATATCCAAATTGACCAAGGAACTGAGTTGCTATGCAATGTTCTTTCCTGAACACTTTATATTTCAGGATCTTTGCAATGGAAAGTGAAGGCGATTGGTAGTAGAGAAGATGATTTGTATGTACTGAGAACACACTACAAGGAAGCTGGAATAAATGGAGCAGAGGTTATGACAGTAGAGCAGATGAAGGAACCTGAAATTTGGCACAGAAGATTAGGCCATGTGCCTATGGCAGTCATTAGAAAGATTTCTAGTTTTAGGAATAAAGATGTTTTTCAATTACAACACTATGATATGTGTCCTTTGTCTAGGAAAATAAGATTACCATTCTCTGTTAGTACTAGTAGATCAGATGAATCTTTTGATTTGGTACACATGGATGTATGGGCCCTTATAAGGTTTCAACCTATAATGGAATGAATTACTTTTTGACATTAGTAGATGATCACACCAGATGGACATGGATTTTCTTAATAAGAGTGAAATCAAATGTGTCTGAGTTACTTAAAACATTCATTGCAATGATTCTTTACCAATTTGGAAAGATGATTAAAGTGTTCAGGTCAAATAATGGATCTGAATTTTTTAACATGTCTTGCAAGGAATTATTTGCACATCATGGGATTCTATGTTAGAGTTCTTGTCCTTACACCCCTCACAGAATGGAGTGTTAGAGAGGAAACATAGGCACATCCTAGAAACAACAAGAGCAATTAGGTTTCAAGCTAATTTGCCAATTCGATTCTAGGGAACATGTGTAGAGGCAACAACATATATAATAAACAACATTCCATCTACCATCTTGAAAGGTAGATCACCTTTTGAAGTGTTTTACAACATGCCACCTTCTTTGGCTCATATGAGGGTGATAGGTTGTCTTTGTTATGCAACTATACTGCCAAAACAAGATAAGTTTTGTCCAAGAGCAGTGAAGTCAGTTTTGCTAGGATATGGTGTCCATCAGAAATGATACAAGCTATTTGATTTGTCTAATAAAGTGTGCTTTATTAGTAGAGACGTTATCTATCATGAAAGCATATTTCCTTTCCAGGATAATCATAAAAAACAAAGCCCTCAAGCAGCTGACATTACAAAATTGCAGAGATTTTGTATAGTGGATGATTTAGACATAGCAAGTAGGAACATTCTATCTGATCAACATGCTGCAGATATTACTTCACAACAGCTTCCAGGTGCACACGCAGACCTTGATTAAGAAAATCATGAAACTCAGGACCTTTATGAGGATGTGGCAGATCTTGTTGAAGACATCAAAGAAGTAAAATAGACTCAAACAGCAGAATTGACTAAAAGAAGATCAGGTAGAACAACTAAGCCACCTATTTGGCTTAAAGATTATGTGAGGACTGATAAACAATCAGGAGCACATACTTGCTTGTATCCTATCTTAGATGTCATCAGTTATGACGTCCTGTCTTCCAAATATCAAAGCTTCATAACCAAGTTCTCTGCAGACATTGAGCCTAAATTCTATCCAGAAGCAGTTACAGATGCAAGATGGATAGAAGCAATGCAGACAGAGATCAAGGCATTGCAAGATAACAAAATATGGATAGTGATGCCTTTGCCACCAGGGAAGAAGGCCATTGGTTGTCGATGGGTGTAAAAAATTAAATATAAAGCTACAGGTGAAGTGGAGAGGTTTAAGGCAAGGTTGGTTGCCAAAGGGTATAGCCAAAGAGAAGGCCTTGATTATCAAGAAACATTCTCCTTTGTTGTGAAGATGGTGACAGTGAGGACTGTTATCTCGTTGGCAGAAATGAATAATTGGGACATTCATTAAATGGATGCCTACAATGCGTTTTTGCAAGGTGATCTAACTGAAGAAGTGTATATGGAGTTACCACAAGGATTTACTTGTGAGGGATAGCATCAAGTATGTCGACTTCTCAAATCACAGTATGTGCTTAATCAAGCTTCTAGGCAGTGGAACATCAAGCTAACCCCTACATTGACAGCTTCCGGGTTCTGTCAGAGTCACTTGGACTATTCCTTGTTCACTAGCAAAATTCAAGGCAAAATAGTAGTGGTCTTAGTTTATGTTGATGACCTACTAATTACAGGAGATGATGTTGCCTTAATACAGAAGACTAAGAAGTATTTGCATCATGTTTTTAAAATCAAGGACCTAGGGGAGCTGAAGTTCTTCTTAGGGATTGAATTTGCTTGAAGCAAATAGGGAATTCTAATGCATCAATGAAAATATGCATTAGAACTCATTTCAGATATGGGACTCTCAGGTTCAAAACCACCAGGTGCACCTTTGGAGGTCAACAAGAAGCTTACAACATTAGAGTTTGACACTCAGTTTGGTATTGGAGATGATAAAGTTCTTGATGATCCTAGTGCATATCAACGATTAATTGGAAGACTTCCCTACCTCACCATGACTAGGCCAGATATTGCATTTGCAGTGCAATGTCTGAGCCAATTTATGCATTGTCCTAAGACATCACATATGGAGGCTGCCATCAAGGTGATCAAGTATGTCAAGCAGTCCCCAGGAATGGGGATATTAATGTCAGCAAATGCTTCCTCTCAACTCACAGCCTTTTGTGATGCTGACTCGGCCTCTTGCCCCAACACCAGGCGATAAGTTACTGGGTATTTGATTAAGTTTGGGAGCTTCTTGATCTCATGGACGTCAAAGAAGCAAACAACCATATCCAGAAGCGTCACATTTGCATAAATAGTTTGGGTAACTGGCTTATTCGAAGAATTGGGGGTGCATATTCAAAAGCCTGTGTCCATGCTAAGTGACAGTAAGCATGCAATTCAAATAGCTGCTAATCCAGTGTTTCACGAGCGAACAAAGCATATTGATATAGACTGTCACTTCATTCGCGAGAAGGTGCAACTTGGGCTTGTTCATCTTTTGCATCTTCCTTCATCAGAACAACAAGCAGATATTCTTACTAAAGGTTTGGGTGTCACTCAACATCATTATCTGTTGTCCAAGCTAGGCATGAAGAACATCATCATGGCACCTGGCTTGAGGGGCGTGTGTGTGTGTGTGTGTGAAGGAATTAGACAAATGCCTTGCTGTACACAGACGCTTAATCAGTTCTTAACTGAATTAGTTAGTGTAGTTAGTTATTAGTTAATTATTTTGTTAGTGGAAGTTAGGTATACAGCTGGATACAACTGGCAGGTAGTTACACTTTGTATATATATATATATATATATATATATATATATATATATATATATATAAGGAGCTAGCTAATTCATTTTTGCAACTCTATTGATTCTATACAGAAAATTTCCCAAATCTCTGCATGTGCTCTCTTCCTTCGTCTCTGTTCTTTCTCTGATTCAATGTCGATTAGGAATTCAACGTGTCTTTTCAGAGTGAATAAGCATATAAATTATGGAGTGACTTTGTAAACTAAATTTATAATATTAGAAATTATACAAAAAGATACAAGAAATTATGTATTTTCTTATAATTAAACGTATTTAATGTTTACCCGTAAAACGATACAGTTGAATTTATACGTGATTTATAGACAAGTGAATCGATTTGATCCCAAAATGATAAATAAATTGGACAAGAATATAAGACTTAGTCTTGAAATCAAGATAACACAGCAGAAATATTGGCTCCGAGAGCAGAGCTTCCGGAGGTAGTAAGAACAATATTAATAAGCAAGAAGATAAAATAGTATTAAGCTTTTGAGCAGAGTATATTATTAGTTCGTCAGAAAATTCATGTCATTTACAATGGCTGTAGAGCTCACTATTTATAGTTGCACTTAGGGAACAAGGTCCTAGGATCAAGCCCCCTCTTAAATGACAATTATGAGGGCCATTGAAGAATGTATAACGGTAGGCAATGAATGCCATATTCTTTATAACGGACCGTGCACTTAATGCTATAAATATTCTCCATTAAATGCTACTGGGTGACAGGTTATTTAATTCGCCTTTATGAATATCATTCTCTTCGAGATCGTTGCCTTCAGACCTAATTGTCTTCTGTCTTCGGCTCCACGTGTCACTTTCTCATATGATCATTTAATGTGAACATATTTTACTCTATACAGATAGTTCCCTAGCTTTCCGGTGGCATAACTTTGTGTCACCGAAAAGTTGGTAAGGATACCTTTTTTGGCGGGAAATTCTCTGACCCCCTCTGAAAAGTCTCTGAAGGTTGATTAGACGCACGTCTCTCCGCATTTAATGCCTCGAACACGCGTCACCCCACGATTCAACAACACTTTTGCCGGTAATCGAGGTAATTATGGCCACGATTTTAGCTGCCTATTCCTTTGATTATACGCATTAAACTTCTCCATTTACACTTAATAACTTTCCAAACTTTCTCAAACTCTCTTTACTCAACTCGTACTTGTCTTCAACTTTCTCTAATCTTCTTCTTTAGAGAAAAACCTTTTCTCCCTTCTAATAACAATGGCCTCTTCTTCTGGAAATCCTAGTTCCTCAAAAAGCAAAGATAAAGTTGATGATGCTTCTCCTCTACTATGAGCACCATTATTCCAAGGAATCTTGTCACAACTAAGGACTTCGAAGAGACGTATCCTTCCGCTAACCCTCACACATGGGCTGTTGGTATGTATTCTTCTTCCATCCGTCCTTCCAGCATTCCTGCTGTGAAGGAAGACTACCATTGCCATGATTTAAACATCATTGCTCCTGACCTGGCAGAGCGGATAACCTTACCCAAGAAGGGTTTCTTGTATTTTTATACGTATCCCTTCACTTTGGGACCGTTCTCTTTGAGCGGGGAGCTTGACTCCGTTATCGTGGAGTTCTGCATCCGTTACCAGGTGTGCCTGGAACAAGTAAGTCCTTCTGTGTAGAGGACGGTTGCTTGTCTTTAGCGTCTATGCCAGGAGACGGGATAGGAGCTATCCCTGGTTCGATTAAAAAGCTCTCATGCAATTATCATTGAATTTGAACTTAGCATCCTTCTCAAGAAGCTTGCACAACTGATTCACCACCTTAGAGAAGTCTTTGATGAAGCGCCGGTAAAAACCCGCGTGGCCTAAGAAACTCCGCACACCCTTCACCGAAGTTGGAGGTGGAAGTTTAGACATCACCTTAATCTTTGCTTTGTCAACTTCAATTCTGTTCTTTTAGATTTTGTGGCCAAGGACAATGCTTTCCTCGACCATGAAATGCAATTTCTCCCAATTAAGCACCAAATTTGTTTCTTCACATCTAACCAACACTTTATCCAAATTTTCAAGACAATAATCAAAAGAATCTCCAACCACTGATAAGTCATCCATGAAAACTTTAAGGTAGTCCTCCACCTTGTCCGTGAAGATAGCCATCATACACCTTTGAAAAGTAGCCGGTGCATTACACAAACAAAATGGCATTCGCTTGAAGGTGAAAGTACCATAGGGACATGTAAAGAGTGTTTTCTCTTGATCTTCCGGAGCAATAAGAATTTGGTTGTAGCCCGAATACCCATCAAGAAAGCAATAAAAAGCACGGCCGGCCAATCTATCGAGCATTTGATCTAAGAAAGGAAGTGGAAAGTGATCCTTCCTTGTGACATTATTGAGCTTGCGATAGTCCATACGCACCCTCCATCTCGTCACCGTTCTTGAAGGAATCAACTCATTCTAGTCATTGGTGACCACCGTCATGTCCCCTTCTTTCGGACAAATTGAACCAGAGAAGTCCACGAACTATCAGAGATGGGGTAGACAACCCCGGCATCCAACCACTTGATAATCTCCTTCTTGACAAGTTCTTGCATAGCCTCATTGAGTCTCCTTTGATGTTCAATAGATGGTTTGGTGCCATTCTCCAACTTGATCTTATGCATGCAAAAGTCGGGACTTATCCCCCGAATATCCGTCAATGTCCACCCAATAACCTTCTTCCTCTTTTGTAGCACCGCCAATGTGGAATCTACCTGCACGTTAATCAAACAAGAGGAAAGAATAATTAGTAAAGTAGAGCAAGGACCAAGAAATTCATACCGAAGATGTTGAGGCAATGGCTTCAACTCCAAGGTAGGAGGCTCTTCAATAGAAGGCTTTGTAGGAGGAGTTGTCCTATGTTCAAGATCCAAGGACAATTTCCGGGGTGCATAGTTGTACGGCCCCATTCCTTGAAAAGAGTTCACACATTCCATGAAGCCATCCATCTCGTCCTCATAAAAGTTGAGCTAGGTGGCCTCCAACATATCACCAACATTGATTGTAGCATTTGTTTCATCAACAATAACATCGGTCACCAAGTCCACAAAAGAATATACATCATTGCTATTTGGTTGCCGCATGGACTTACACACATGGAATACCACTTTTTCATCACCAACCCGGAATGTAAGTTCTCCGGCTTCAACATCACAAAGAGCCTTCCCCGTAGCAAGGAGAGGTCTACCAAGAATAATCAGCACTTCATAATCAGCCTCACAATCTAGAATGACAAAATCCACCGGAAGAATGAATTTATCAACACGAACCAAGACATTTTCAATCACACCCAAAGGTCTCTTCATAGTACGATCGACCATTTGCAATCTCATAGAGGTTGCCCAATTCCCAAAGTCTTGAAAACCGAATAGGGCATCAAATTGATACTTGCCCCAAGATCACAAAGAGCTTTAGCAAACTTGGCACTTCCAATTGTACAAGGAATCATAAGCACTAGAATCCTCTAACTTAGGAGCCATTGAATGCACAATTGACTTAATCGATGAGTGACCTTGATAGTTTCAAAATTCATTGACCTCTTCTTTGTCATGATATCCTTCATAAACTTTGCATAATCAGGCATTAATTCAAAGGCTTCAACTAATGGCACATTGATTGAGAGACTCTTGATCATTTGAATGAACTTCTTGAATTGATTTTCACCATTTTGTTCGGCAAGTCTTTGAGGGTATGGAGGTGGAGCCTTAGGCAATGGTGCCTTAGCCTTTTGCACTACCAGCTCCGGAATGTCAATAATGTGATCCTTAGACGGATTCACCTCCTCTTCAGTCACTTCCACACTACCATCAATATCAATTCGAACTTCCTCATTAGGTTGCACCACATTATTTGGGGTTTCCTCTTCTTGCACCACTTGATCATCATCAACAAGTTGCCTTTGACTTGAGGTGGGTGCATTCCACCTCTTCCACTTCTTGTGGTAAGGGCCATGGCATGTCCCGCGTTAGTTCCACCCTTTGGGTTTACTACCGTGTCACTTGGTAGTGCCCCATTAGGATGAGAATTTAATGCTTGAGAGATTTTCCCCATTTGAACCTCTAAGTTGCGGATTGATGTGTTGTGTGAGGCAAGTTGGGCATCCCAATCGGCATTCTTTTCCATCATTTGCTTGAACATATTTTCAATTTTTCCCATATTATTATTTCAAGAACTTGAACCATGGAAAGGATAAGGAGGCGGGTTGCTGAATTGTTGGTACATTGGGGAGGGGGGGCCTTTAAAATCCCGACCCCCGGTTGCCTTGATTATTGTTCCATCCACCTTGATTGTTAACCCCCCCCCCCTCTCCAATTTCCTTGACTATTTCCACTCTAATTTTCTTGATTGTTACTGTTATGCCAATTCCCTTGATTGTTGCCACCACTCCAACTTCCTTTATTGTTAGAATTCTAATTGC